TCGGGACTTCCTGCAACAACACCACGCCGTTATCTTGATTCTGATTGGCCAGAAGACATTATCAAAGATGTTCTATTGAGAAGACGATCACTACGTAACAAAAGTTTTCAAAACCGTTTCTGGTCTTCGGTATTTCCAGACAAGTGGCTACTGAAATCAATCTTACTAACTGCTGTCTGTGCAATTTACTCCGCGCGAATTGGCAGACTTTATTTTGCTTACTTTAACATCATTTTTCATGGTGGGGCTAAGCCATTTCTTGGTATGGGTGTTGCCTACCCCAGCCATACCCTGGCGCTGCCACTGGTGGGATGTATGGGGCGGGCCATTCTGCTGTATGCGTTAAATGCGTTAAATATTTGAACGCAATTAATTAAAAAAATTAATTACCGCCGTTAACGCGATAATTTTGACAGCATTAAATTAAACATGTCGTGCTGCAACTTCGGAAAGTTATTGGAGCCATTTTCACGTTTGATTTATGTTGGGAATATCTATTATTATATATTATGCAAATGTTCAGGATTCATATTTGTATTTTTCTCATACTGCCTGTGCTGCAGCACTTATTTTCACCCTCTGTCTGAAACCAGAGCCCAGTCTGCTCTGATTGGTTAGCTGGCCGGTTCTGTTGTGATTGATCAACCGCTCAGAGATTCCCCGTCCCTTCCTGTACAATGTGTGGGAGCGCGAGCCAATAGAAGCACAAGTGTTACTAGGTGATGTTACTATACTATGGTTGTACAGGAGAGAAACTCCCTTTGGAGGGAACTTTGGTATTTTAGCCTTTGCAGACTATTGACATGCACAACAACCTATATAACACACTACAGGGCAGGGAAAACCCCCAAAAGCATAATGCTTTATATAGACAATACAATTGTGGGGTTGGTTTTCTCACCACATAGTTTTTTCACCTTATTTAACATGGTACACCACATTATTAGGCGCATTCTTTTTGACAACTTATTCTGACCGTCAATTGCCTGATCACAAAAGTAATATTTGGATTAACTTGTTTCCGGGAAAGTCAATTGATTATTGTTTAATTTTTATATATATTTGTTTATCTTATAGGCTTCATAGAAGTTAAAGCCCAATATTAGTTGGAAAACTACTGACAAAGAACATATTGTATATAAGTAGGACTCAACTGTTGCCTAGCCTTATGCATTTATGAAAAGTAAATTAATTTGCTGACTTCAAAGTTATGCTTTAAAGTAACAACTAACAGGGGGCTTCATATAAATGTAGTGAAGCCAAAAATATAATCTGTCTTTCAGTTGAGTAAAAGTAATAAATTACCCATAATTTGCAAGTAAACTGCAGATACTGAGGAAGAATGTACTTATGTGCAGTACTCAAGTCAATATACTTTGTTACCGTCCACCACTGATAGCGAGTTATGCAGGACATCCACCTTATTTTGCTTCAGCTGTAAAACTTGTAAAATAAATTAATCAATTGCTTCTTACTGAACTTATAACATAAAGATGAAGATTTAAATGACTTTCAGTCTTTGGTGCGATATGTTTGACATATATGGTCTATTTCTATGAAGCGGTTTAGCGGCCATAAATCACTGTGTGGTCCAGTGCCAGAAAGAATTTATTACAAGGTCACACCGCTTGATTTGAAGGCGCTACCGTTCACACAACACCTCGACTGTGATGTCTGTTTTTACACAATTCTGTTTGCTTTCTGAAGCCACTCATGCATTGTTGTGTCAATTTGATTTAAATAAAAGCAGCGAATTATGGGAACTCTCTGATTTGTACTAGTACACTAAGATTTTCTCAAGTAAACAAAGCAAAATAGTGGAATGTACTATTGAATCTTCTCCATTAGGAACTAAATACAAATGTTTATTCTTGGATTATAGATGTCCGTGCAGAGAGAAATGTTGACTTTGACATAATTCTCCATGGACAGATTTCAGGCTCTCTAGGATATTGCGTTTGGGGTTAAGGGAATATCACAGACGAGGTAATCTTGATTGGGCATGACAGTCCCCTTCCAGTGTCAACATGCTATTTTTACCCCACTCATTTCACATTATTGCCCTCAGGCAACCCAATCCCATCTCAAAATCTCTCATTATTTAAACATGCAAAAAAAGAAATTAGCCTCCATCGCAGGCCACCTCCACACTGATGTGGTCGCATTTCATATACTCTTTTACGATAGTGCAGAGCTCATCTCTCGAGGACTTTGAAAATGTCCCTCTTGTGTTATAATAAGAAATGAGTTCATCAGTAAACCAGAAGGAAGAATACATATTATTTTGTAATGTGAGTCTTATTACTTTTGAGACTTATTATATGCTATTTTGACTAGAATGAGCTGTTGGTTAAGTATGGAGGGAATACTGTCGTTTTTTGGTCATCAAATATTGTTCCAACAATGGGCGGCAAGAGCTGTAGATTCATGCTTCACCTTTTTGATCTGTAGAAATGATTTATGAGATGATATAATGTTAAAGTCCACGGTGTTGTTGGGAGTTATCTCCATTTTGCTTGCTGGTGGTGAAAGCTGAATGTGTTAAAACGTCATACAACCTTCAAAAGGTTTATCTCATATGACAGTCTGGATATTATTCATACATTTTTCTGAACTTTCAGACATTTTCTACCTTTGCATTAAAACAAATGGCTTATCTGTTCATATTAGTGTGTAATGTAAAGTTTTCTCACTTTTTCATTCACGTTTTATTTTTATCCACTCATTTATGCTGTGAGCTAGAAACTCCATTCAAACTTTTAAACAGTTGACAAATCGTTCTGGGTATTATTCAACTTTCAATTTGTTTTCGTTATTTTGGACATATTCAACTTTCTTCTAAGCTTAATTAGACTCCTATGTTTTATTCTGTGATATAATGACATCACCATGTAACACTTGTGCTTCTATTGGATAGCGCTCCAACACATTGTACGTGATAGGTTAAGGGGCGGGATATCTCTAAGAGGTTGACCAATCACAACAGAGCCGGCCAGCTAACCAATCAGAGCAGACTGGGCTCTGGTTTCAGACAGAGGGTGAAAAGAGGTGCTGCAGCACAGGCAGTATGAGAGAAATAAAGAGCTTTTTGAACATTAGAGCATGGAGACATGTCAGTAGACACTAAATACAAATATGAATCTGAAATGTGAATTTGATGTCCTCTTTAAATAATTTCCGCTTCAAAATGTATAAAATGTTTGCTCTTACAATAAAATAATATCCGATTTCACCAAAACAAATCAAAGCAATTAGCTGAAAAATGATATAACGCGCCCTTAAGCTAAGGGGAACTGCAGAAGCGGGTTGAAATTATATAGTCATATAAACCATATTGATTATAAAAATGCTGTATATAACCGTTTTAACATTGGTGAGTTCTCCTTCCGAAGAGCCTTTAATACTGCTCCTACTACTAGGATGGGTTAAATGCAGAGGCCAAAATTCACTGTGTGTGCTGTGTGCTCTGCATGTGTGACCATTCAATATATAGAATCGGAGGGTTTCATCCCTCCGATTCTATATTCTATATCTATAATAAGCACTAATATGTGGACCGTAATTCAGGGATATGGACCAAGGTTATTAAAGTGTAGACGGTATAGATATTTACTATTCGTCCAAACGTTTGGTTGATGTAACCTGAGAGCAAAAACCTTCCCCCAAAATAGAAGCAAACAAGCACTTCATTTTATTGATGTTATGTCTCATTATTTATGGATGTTGACAGCTTTCCTATTGCCGAGTAAACCAATGTAGCTTTAACCGTGTCGGTGACTGCTCAGCAAACTTCACTTTCTGCACCCAGTTCTTAAATCTGTCACTGGGAAAGGTTTCTAATGACCTGAGTCGCCCCCGTTTTGAGATCAGGGTCAGATCTGTCCATATTATTGAGGGAAAAATGCTTTGTTACGGTAGGAGGGTTTAACTGTCTGACACATTGGTACGTGCTCCTGCTGCTGACGGTCTCGAAAATGACAGAAAGCATTTCCTGGAGAAGTAAAAACAATCCTCCATTTATTTTTTTATATTTCAACTTGTTTACATCAATTTATGGTGAGCACCACAACTTCAATCATTTTTAAATTAATGCAACCTCAAGCTTTCAGGCTGTACCATCCAGCAGCCTCACCTGCAGACATCTGCTGATGTCAAAATAAATATCGAATGTAAAATATGTATCTCCCCTTTCAACTTGAAATTGCCTCACTGCAGTATTTCAACTCCACAGGGTCCCACTTGACGATTCCATTTCCTTCATCTTCAGAAGATAATAAATGTAACATTTGCTAGAGATTACTTTATTTTTGGCTCGAGATTGCAGCCAGAAATGTTTGCTGTGATGGAGCAAGCCGGCCGACCCCCTACTACTTGGGTTCATTACCCAGCAATATGCAGAAATTGTGTTTTTTCTATAGAAAGTAATCACTCTGTCTCCAGTCTGAGTCTTTCTTTTGATTTAACAGATTGAAATTGTGAAAAATATGCCTTCTAATTTCGTCACAGCTTGCAGTAAAATTGTATTTGCTCATTGCATATGAACAGCAGGACTGAAGGAAAACCAGTGTTATGTAAAACAGTAAAAAATGCAGATTGTATGCAGGTCATTTGCATTACAAAAGCGGGGGTCAAAATGTAAGGAAAGATAACTATGCTTTGGCAGAGGGTGGTAGACTGTGTTGACAGAGAACGTGTGAAAACTCACAGCTTGTGAGATACCTCTAATGATATCTCTACCTATTAGTCTCAAAATGAAAGAAAAGGTCACGGTGCCACTAATAATCGTGCAATAATTCACATTCTGTCCATTTCCAGGAATACAACACCAAAACACAAGAAGTATTCACTTAGAAATAAAATCAAACTAATCATGTTTCCCATGAGGGGGAGTGATAATGTCTGTAATACAGTATGTTGATAATGTTTGCACAATATAGACAATTATTATTCAAAATAATTCTATAACCATAGTTTTTTTTCTTCTCTTGCTCTCTGAACAGATAACGTCTACAAGAAATGTCTTGCAAACGGGACATGGGCGCTGAAGGGGAACTATTCCATGTGTAAGGCCATACTTCACGAGGAGGTAAGAGGTCCCAGCGTGTGTTGTTTGTGTGCACGTGTTCTGATTAATGAAGCTTTTCATGCAGCATGAAACATAATCAAAAACCAACAACAAAGGCGAGGTTAGCAGGGGAAGATGAATGCTGCAGGTTTGCTCGGAGCTTATTTATAGTAAATATAGATTCTAGGTTAGGTTCCTCAGAGCCTGCAGCCTTTAACTGACTACAACTACCATGGCGGTACTATGAAATGCCCAAAAGCATCCCCTGCAGGCTTCAGGAGCACAAAGAATGTTTTGCATTTAACAAGCGCTGCAGCTTTAATGTCATCTTGTCGGGTTTTATAAATATATAATCTGCTAATCAACCTGCAGCTATTTCTCTTTTGAAAGCACCCAAACAAAAAACTGCTTCTTTTAGTAAATTCCTCAAAATAAATGGCAGACGGAAATGTGATTTTTCTAAACAGCATTGTCCTCTGGCAATGAGAGCAAGAAAACACAATCGGTTGGCTTTGGTTGAAAGCAACAGCATGCTGCATTTGAGGACCTGCTGTGCTCCAGTTTGTTATCCATTCACAAGGGTTTGCTGCATGCTCTTAGCCTCCACCTGCATGGTGTTTTGTGATGTGCAGATGTGGTGATTAGATTTGTTTTTAATAACCCTAACCCAAAGCCCTCAGACAAAACACGCTAACCCAAATTAGGCTGTGACAAATAGACATTTGAGTTGATGGAAGTGAAATATAAAATGACATGATGGAAAGAAGTGACACAACATGTTTGTTTTGCCTGACCTGACCATCTGCTGAGACTGAGCTGCAGATGCAACAGTTGAGTTTCCATCAACATTGTTACCCTGGTTCAATAGGCTCTGTTGTGTTTTCCTTTCCCCGATTTCAATCCAATTTATATCTCCTTGAGCTGCACTTAAAAGGTTAAGCCGGCAATATGCGATATGCTCATCTCTTATAAACATGATAAGATCCAAACCAGTATCAGTTAGTCCGTAATTCAATACTTTTCTAAATCCTCTTGCCATGTTTGTTACATTGAAAACATAAATCAAAAAAACAAATAGAAATGTAAAAAGTGCTGAGTTGTTTCCTAAAGCAGCTGGCCGCTTAGATTTCTATCAAACGTAACTCAACACAAGTAAATAATGCTTTTAAAAGGGAACATTTTTTGACTAATAATTCACATCTAGTACTGTAGCATTTCCAACAACTGGACGTACAATTATTTAGCTTGACATACAGTCTCTTTTGTCAATGTCTGTCTGGCAGGTCAGAATATTTGTTTTATTTGTCCTTAACCAATTTGTAACACGTCACAAGTCTTCTGAAGTTAAGGTCATTTTAAGTAGACTCAGTAGCTAGCTGTTTTACCGCTTGCTAAATTGTTCACAGCATTCAAATGAAAAGATAGAGATGATTGATAACACTCTGATGTCTGTATGCTAAGTAGCCTAGCCTATAGAACTGCAGCTAGGAAGTGATTAGCTTAGTTTAGCTTAACTAAGCTGTGGACTGTAAGCAGTGCGAAAGTAAATAAAATACCCCTAAAAACACCTCTAAAGCTCACTATTAACACACTGTACCATATGTCACGTGTTTATTCTGTAACTTCAACCTGATTCTATTCTTTATGCTAATGTTTCTAATTGCCTTTTAGCTCACACTCATTTAAACAGATTTGAGAATGATTGATTTTCTCATTTATCTCTTAACACAAAAGCATATAGGCTTTTGTTCCAAAATGTTGATTTCTCTTGTAAGAGTTATTTCTGTATTGTGTCTTGAATAGCATCCTTTTTGACGCTCGATTTTCTCAATCAGGTCCCAAGATGCAGTACGGTTGTTTCAGTTTCAGACATTTAAACATGTTGTGGAACGCGGCTCTTCATTTTGTGTTTTCCAAGAGAGACTCTAGGCCTGATGTCCAATCGATCTGCGGAAGATGGATATGGACAGTCTGACCTTTTTAAATATGTGTTTTTCTTTTTTTTTCGCTGGCGTGATTGACATCAGTAGGAGAACAGGAGGGGAGGCGTTGAGGACGCCTCTCTTTAAAGTTCAGCCTGTATTGAACCGGTCCCGCTGGGAAGAGAAACTCTATGGATCAAAGGCTTAATGGAAAGTTAGTTTGAGGAAAAGGAGAAATACCATCTTTTCCTTTTAGGCCTGTCTCAAGGTTATTTTCTCAAATAGACGATAAGTGTCTTTGTTGTATCTCATGGAAATAGAGGGGTTTAGTTTTGACTCTTGTAGCCCACACACTTTCTCAGAGACCTGAGGCGAGTGGTAGGTTGGGTCTTATATTATCCTGTTGTCATCCACCCCCTCCTCTCTGAGCCCTGCTATCCATTTTAAACCCTCCTGTTGGCTTGATTTATGTCCTGATGTGTTAGCCAGTCTTGCAGTGTCTCTTAAAGGACTGACTCACATTTTCTCTTTTCTGGTCTATATTACAACAGCCTCGCTCATATACAGTATACATTGAATTCATTCAAAGTGTAGTCACTAATCATTGTAATCACCCTCCTGTCATACTACCCTTGAAAGGATCCTTTTATAGCGTGATTCAGCTGTAAGACAAAATCTACATTCCTTGTTTGGTAAAAAAATGCATTATGCTGCAGCAGAGGGACATGTCAGTAGTTTTATTTAGTTTGAACTACTGGGACAATACACAATGTGGATCTCCCAGGACAGGAATACCCACGTGATTTGTCGAATTCCAACTATAGCCTCATTTTAAAAATGTGGACTGTGGATCGCAATGCTATAAACAAGCAACTCTATTTGGTTGGATTGGGTTAGTCAGATTCCTCGGAAATTTCACTCAAATCACATTGTCCACTTCCAAAATAAAACACAACAACTACCCAGAACTCATGTGTGTGGGAAAGAAACTCCCTCTGGTGGGAACTTAGGGATTTTGGCCTTTGCAGCCCATTAACATGCACAATAACCTATAACACGCTACAGGAAAGGGAAAACTCAAAAAGCATAAAAGGACCTCTTTAAGATATATACAGTAACATGTGACAACCTGAAAAGCGATGTACTGTAAAGCTTGAGAATCCAGACCCAGACACTAGACCGAATGGATTTGATTTCCTACTAGAGTTGGTGAGACGTCATGTACTACAGAAACATTTATAAACTGAGGATGTGTAACTTACCAAATACCCTAAAAACTCAATTGATCTAATCCCAAAACATTTATACAAATAAATAATGGTTTGGATTAAATTCATTTTAGGGAGTATCTTATTTTGAAATCCCAAGCCGCTTAGTGTATTCCAGCTCTGACATATTTAAATAACAACTGCCGCCTTAATCTCTTTATGAACACCGACACAGATAAAGACATTTTTGTTTCGTTATTAATTCCATTCCTTACCTCTGGACATCTACAAAACACACTAAAGCACACGGCACTAATAATATATACAGTTTGTTACACCCAAGGGGGGGAGATTTCCTGTTTAGTGTCACAAACTTCAGTACTATTCAGTTTACTTTCATTTAAGATAAGGAATCGCAGCAATTTGTCACACATAAAAGGCTGAAACCATGACATTGAACCAACATCTTAGAAAAAGTGGCTGAATTGTTTTTTCAAATTCACAAATCAACACAATTATAACGTAGCTAATACACACTGTTTGCTAGACAGATTTTTTCACAGTTAATCATATTTTAAAAGTTATTTGTTGGTGAAATCTTGATTTCTAGTGTAACTTAAGCTGTCCGATAAATATAGTGGATTCAAAATGAAACAAATATTCTGAATTGTGTCGAAGTGGATGCATAAACTGTCATGAAATAGGACTTCTAAAATAAAAGACTTCTAAGAATCATTCCTCAGTTCCTTGTATCTTGCCAATCACTTTTTGAAGTTGTTATAGTTACAGCCTCATATGACAAGTGAGAAGTGTATTGAAACAGACTTGAACAAAATCCGTACAAATCCTTTAATTTATTTCGCATTCGGAGAGATTGCAGGATTATTCTGTCGAAAAGCATTAAGCATGACCGCAATATTTCTGTAACCACAACCCAGTGTTTTGCCAAAATCAGTCAAACCCTATCCACAGAGGTGGCAGATGGGAAATATGACTGATTTTGTAACAGTCATGTGATTCTTTTTAAAAGGAATAAATAACCTATTTTCTTGTTTTAGTATGAAGACTTGTTTTTCAATTCCACAAATATCTAAGGTTCAGAGATGGATGTGCAATAATGATATCCAATGGAACAATTAATGATACAGTGTTAATACCAAGCCATTTTTCTACTAAATATCAGTGAAAGGGTGAAAGATGTACAAAATAAAGTGAATGGGAGAATTTGTTGCAGGGTGGGGGGGCAGGGATTAAACATGTCCGAATGTAATCTGGGTGTAGACACTACTAGGTTATGTAAATCCACTTACATCACAGATTACTGTTGGTAGTGTGGGGGAAATCGGATCACAATGGCTATCTGAGTCGCAGGGAGATTTCTTTAGCTCCAATTCCTAGGAAGTTGTGTTCTATGTAAAACCTTCAGAGATAGCAGCAGTGCCAGAAATGTGGATAATGTATGTGAGCGTGTGCTCTTATCTTTTCTAATAGGAAAATCAACAAAGAGATTAAAAAAACGACCATAAAGAGACACAAAACAAGCCCCAAGAGACACAGAGCGACCATAGAGATGTACAAACCAACCATAAAACACGAAAGAAACAACCAAAAAAAGACAAAATAGATATTAAAGAGACGAAAAACAACCACAAAGACTTTTAAGAGATACACAACGACAACAAAGACACAAGTTGAATACACACTTCAGGTGGGGGGTCTCTGAACATGTCAGTCTAGGGGGCAATTTTCTAGCTACTATTTCACATTAGTTTATTTGAGTGGCCTATTTATATAATCTATTACACAATATAGACAGTGAAGTTATTAATAATGTAATGGAAATCGAGCTCGGAGCTTCAAATGTAACACATTTCTAATCCTAAAAGTTTCTAAATCCGCCTGTGTTTAAAACCACAGCAGGGTCCACTCTTTAAGAACAGAAATAGATGAAAAAGTAATTTTCAGTCTTTGAAGTCTCTTCTCTTATCCTGAGAATATTGTTTCTGTAAAACAGAAATACCCCAAAAGACTCAAGCTGTGTTTCTTCTCTCCCCGCAGAAAAAAGGCAAGATGCACTACCAGATAGCTGTGATTATCAACTTCCTGGGTCACTGCATCTCCATGGTGGCTCTGCTGGTTGCCTTCTTCCTCTTCTTGGGTCTGAGGTAAGTGTTGGTCCCACTGCCACCAGTCCGCTGATAATCCTAAAGACATCTTTGATGTGACAGAAACGTCAGTATTCCCGAGATCCCTCATTTTAAAGCGCTTCTCGTTCTTATTGAAAAACCGTTTGGTCATGGGATGAAACCTTCCCTATCTCAATTCCGCAGATGTAAAGGGGTTTAGAGGCCCGCAAGAACTAGGGCACATTTCCCCGGCAAATGGGAATAATAGACCAGGGAGAAAACCAAAACACTCTTGCCTGCTGGGACAATTGGTGGAGGTGGAGTGGGTTTCTCTGACAAACCGAAATAAGCCGAGCGTAAACGACAGAAAAGGTCTTAGCACCCTCCACAGCCGGGGCTGTTATTGATCCCCGAGACACCGCCGGGGGGTGCGAAAAGCATGAAAGGCCACAGAGAGACACAATAAATAGAAGCTCGACAGGACAGCGTTTATGCACAACCCACGTTGCCTGGCTCGGACAGGGAGGGGGAGGGGGGACAAGTGCCAGCCGACTAAAAATGGCATCAAGGTAGTGAGGGAGTTTGGCATTTATTACTCACCTTCTACTCTTTTTAATGAGATTGAGAGCCATTTAAGGGAAGGTTGCCCCTGACAGTGTGATGGAGCGAAGGTTGACACTTCTGCTCAGTGTTGTGGAACTGGAACCAGACAGTGGAAAAGATTACAGCAGAGAGAAGAGATTTTTCGAGGAAAAAAAACAAAACTGAAATTGCAGTTTAAACAGTGAGACAGAATAGAAATCGTACTGTGAGTTACAATTTCAGGGTTTGCTTTTTAACACGATCCTCCTCACAGAAACGTATACGCTCTCCTGGATAATCCTATACATATACTGTAGATCTGTTATTTCCAATTTACTTCAAATTAAATAATGTGGAAATGAACTAGTTTTATATCTGCTCTCAACTGCTTTGAAGTTAAAAAATATATATATCATGGACAACAAATCCCAGTTATATCTAGAATGAAGACTTCCTCATGGCCAGTGGTGCATTCATGTGCTTATCGGATAGTCCCATTTCCAGAGACTTTAATTCATTCATGCGCTTTAAATGTTAATGTGGACACAAAGTGGACACTAAAACAGAATGTATGTTATCACTCAGAGCATTGGAACAACACTGTCATGAGCAGCTTCTCCTGAGTTGATTTTCCAACATGAGGAGATAATCACATAAATGTACCCAGTTTTTTCCGATGCCACATGAATGCAGCACAAATGCTTGCAATTCTATGTGAAACACAGTTTGGCATTTGCCTTGGGATTTGGATCTGCTCTGATAAGTAAAGGATTCTTCTTTGGCCCTTTTACCAAGTTTCATGAAAATCTAGCCAGTGTTTTTTTCGTAATCTTGCCGACAAAAGACAAAACCAAATGGAAAACATTAGCTCTTGGTGGTGATCAAAATTGACAAAAGAATATCATTCCTCAATCTGTTTTTAAAATGAAAGAACTACAGTTTTGTGAAGGAAAGTGCAAAAGCAAAGACACTTTGACACGAAGATTCAGGGATGGAACCACCAACCATGAACATAGTGGAAAAAAACCTTTACCGGTCTACTGATGGCATAAAATACTACGATACGTGTGAGCTGTCTTCATATTTTATTTAATCTCATCCAAAACTGATCCAGAATCTGAAAGTGAATAATTCAAACTCTTTATTTATGTATCACCTAATGGTATTTTAAGCTCTTTGGTTGGATGTTTCCGACAGTGTTCAGTGTGTGTAAGAACAAATCTTTAACACAGAATCCTCAAGGTCAACTGGGTATACTTGGACACTAGTGTCTCTGAGCAGTGGAACTGAAAGTGTTTTTTTCCCAGTAAATAGATCTTTGGAAAGGTTAGATCATCTTCTTCATGAGTTGTGTGGTTGATTATGACTACATCGCTACATTTGTTGCCAACTTCGATGGTAGCTTTGATGAGAAAAAATGTCTTTGTTTTCCCCCATTCATCAACTGCAATATCTTTTATGACCTATTCCTTTTTTCAAACTATTAGTTCATAGAAATACAACATAATTATCTATTTAGCTCTATTGCAGATACACTTAACAGGACGTTTTAGCCACATTTTAAAATGTTGTTCTGCTTGGTCCACCCAAATTTAGAAATGTATGAAATTGTTTCAAGACATATATGGGCACTTTCAAGCCAACATTCAGTCAATTTTACTCGTAATTTGTTGCGGTCCAACCACTGGCGCGTTTTGTTTAGTCTGTTGTGAATGCAGTTATCAAACTCTTCTGCAGAACAAAACAACAGGTCTAAGACAGCTCCTGGGAGGTGGTCTTGGACAATTTTCATGTGAACCCAGTATGGTTCATTTGCAGTGAAAACATAATCGCAAGTAATTATAGGAAGTGAACCAAAATGCAGGATTATGAGCGGCCTGTGTGTTGTTGAGATGGACCAAGTTAAAGACATGAACTATGAGTGGAAGAGGCCCGATGTTTGGTTGAGATGTTTTTGTTTATCAGGTCATTTAGAAGGGCTTTTCTGTTCTTCTACATGTTGTTCTGTTAGTGTTTTTCCGCTCATGTTGATTTCTGTGTTTAAATTTGTTCCCACCAAATTCCTGACTGTGCGTTTTACTACACTTCCCTCAGGAAATACATACTTTTTTCGTGTGTCTGCTTTAATTTGTGCATTGCAAACAAAAACAAAGGTATTAATTTCACCCTAGTTCTGATTGGCTAAACGGACTAGGGCTTTTGAAAGCCTACCTGGCTGTCATCCCTGTCACAAAGAATCTTCTCTATTTTTATTTCCTGCCAACCTCGGAACCCTGAACCTTTCCAACCTTCTTTATTTTCCTTGTATGAGAACCACGTATTTTCACAAGACGAATCCTTTCTAGCCAGAACCCTCTAAAAAAGGCAGCAGAAGCCACATTAATGTTCACGTTGCATAAACGGTATGTTCTTATAGGATGAGAAACAGTAAATTACCATAAACAGGGTCTTTGAACATAAGACTGAACCGACTGCACTGAAGACGTTCGAACCATTTGGTGTGGTGAACAGATGATAGCTTAGCTGAGGGAAAACAAGCTAACGACAGTCAGTGACTACCATTCAGATATTTTCTCGCACAGCTTTTTATTCGATGATTCACCCGGCACAGTTAAAGTGTGTCCATCCAAGCCTCGAAGCGCTCCAACTGTCAGTCACCTAACACTTAATGTGCATGAAAATAAATGAGACTTTTATATTTCACGATGCCCTGGAAGATGGAAACAACTCATCTCTCGGTCTGCAATCAGGCCATAACATAGAGAGGAAATTGATCAAATTGTTGAGGGATCTGATTTAGCGAGCAAGAGGACAAGCTGTTCACCATCCCACATCTCCCACGCCCGCGATGTTAGACCAGGAAGATGAAAGCATTAATAAATTAGACCGCAGGCACCCTCTTTTGGAAATGTAAACAAGGTTTTTGCCAACGGATATTCAAACGCGCACCTCTGACCTGTTATATCGCAGCAGCAGCTAGCGCCACACTCACGCTAACGAAGCCAGTTTAATACGATGGGAGGGGGAGTGCAGAATGAGTCATCTAAAATGTTTCGCAGCCGGAGAAAAAAATACTTTAAGTATTCACAAAGTCCTTCTACTGACATGCTTTCAATACTTCATTTAAGAATACTTTGTTATAGCAGCACAATGACAGGCTAAGAGGTGAGAAAACAAATGAAGAGCTATTTGAACGAAGTCAAATAAAAAAGAAATTGGTGTAACCCAGTGATTCTCAAACTTTCTTCAATAATGTACCCCCTTTGAAAATAAAATTCAACCATGTACCCCCTGATCAGCACAAAAACAATTTGTTAGGGAAGAAATGCCTATATAAAGAGGTACAGTACAGCGCTGCACCATCGGTGTCTGATTTATTAAAACAACAACCTTGTAACTGAGAAACACTTAAATGCTACATTTCAAATGTTTACAATCCATCACTAAATTCATGGCAAACCAATTTTAATATCATGCAATAACACTAAGACGACATTAGCTGCATTGAACTGATCTTTTTAATAAGTTGTACTTACAATATAGTGAGAAACATGGGCTTGTGCTTTACTGAGGATCTTTGTTATTCTCAGTGACAGGAAGGCCACTGCAGTTATTACACTTCGCGTTTTGAAATATGTGTAACTCTGTTAAGTGCTTTGACAAAAAATCCATAAAAAAATGTCATCTGTGGAACTCGTAATACTGTAAAAAGTACAACCAATCCGTTTAGCCGGGCCGGCTAAACGGATTGGAATGCCGCTCTGTCTGTCAGCCTTCCATTTCGTGCACGCACAAATATATCTCGTGCCCTCATTGGGCGTGCCCTCATTGGGCGTGCATTGCAGCAGTACTTCAATGACTCGCCAGCAACAGGCGGCCACTTTCACCAGTCTGCTGACGTCATGTGTGCGTTCATGTGTGTTGGAGGAGGTGCTCTGTAAGGAAGTCTGAAGGAAGGGGCGGATTCTTTTCGGCTGTGTACTTTCAAATTTTAGTGCACTCGAGCCGGTTTCTGAAACTTACCTACCCCACCTTTAATATAAAACCCACACTGCTCAAACTTCGTTACATTTCCTAAAATTGTTTTTTTTTTCTTTTCATTAACATAAAAATACATCTCACGTACCCCCTGCAGTACTCCAACGTACCCCTAGGGGTCCGCGTACCCCAATTTGAGAACCACTGGTGTAACCAATGAATCTGGATTAATGTACGGATTCAATGTTCCAATACCATCAATGCAAAATGAAAACATCATAAAGATACTCTTCTGTTTTATAATACCCATGGCACAGTTGTTCCATTTCTAGCCAAGTGCACCTCCAAGTGCACCTCCAAGTGCACCTCCAAGTGCACCTCAGAGCCCAGTAATGCAGTTTTCCAGTTATAATGATTACTGATTATATTCATAAAGTTGATCTAACGTAACTGATAGTGTGGCAGTTTGATACTCCTCATATCGATCATAGGCCTCTGAATTGAATTTAAAATCATATTGTTGTCCCAAGAATTGGTATGATATGTTATCATAATGAAACTTCTAATTTAAAACTCTGGAAAATATATACTATAAACATTACAATACGTTAGACTATATCGGTAAATTATTCTTAAGCTGTAATGTGGTAACTTAATGTAATTTATAGGTATACAGTATAGCTATACGTTTTAATGACAATAAACAATTGTGCTTTTACATTGTATTATTTATATATATATATATATTTTCAACTTTGTTTATACTATTGTGTCATTCATTTGTAGTATTTCTATAATTTGCATATATGTCTAACATTGTCTATAATTTTTTATATTTTTATTCATATTGTTTTTGAAACTTTAATTCAGACATGATGTCTGCCAGAGATTCACTAGGATTTATTTTTGCACAAACTACTAATATAATCTAAGGAATTTAATGTATTTTTTTATCGTCCTTTATCTGCCTTCTTACTTTTCAGCCCGCAAGTAAAGGGTTCCCTAAGGGATGAATATATTCTCATCTTATCTTATCTCATTTTATGTAACTATAAATAAATAATAATCGGTTAAATTGAAAGAGTACGCAAAATTGTATTGTAATACATAACTATTTATCAGTGAAATGAAAGAGGATAGCAAGATATAGCATACAATCTAATATATAAAGTGGGAATAAAATAAAGCTGTGATTTATTTCTTAAATGTTATTATTACTTTTTTCTTTCTTAATAGAATGATATAAATGATATAATGGTAAAAAGGGGGTTTGATGCACGAATTAACTAACAAATTCCACTAATTAACAGTGCAGCAGGGGATGATTCACACACAGAGTAAAGTATGGATTTTAAATGTTTGTTTTTGATCCATTACAAGGCTGCACAGACAGGAAGAAAAAAAGAAACGTCCTTATTGAACTCTCCTCGGTGTGTGATGAGTCACCCTGTGTGTGGGTTACTCTCTGGGCGCACCGAGCCAATCATCTTGGGCTTGATTAAACACAAATGAAGCCAATTGTCAGCAGGTCATGTCATTACAAACACACCACAAGAGGCACATAACAATGAGGAAGTTATATAAAAATCACCCCCCTGCTCATTCAAATATGCAATCATTAGGATTGAATGTATTTGATGGGAAATAATGTGCCAGAAGTTACCATAAATTAATATTGTTCATAGCGCCAGATCAATACAAATCCATAGCATTGACACATTGTCCTACGCATACTTATTTAAAGTGTAAGGTTATACACTGGGGATGGGATCCACTGGTACTGAAAGACAGGATGAGATAAATTGACAGGTTGTGTTTTCAGACGTAAGACCTGCATTAGTCGGTAATTAATACCCATCAGGCCGAGCTGATTCACTGACAGGATGCCAAAGGGAGTGAGATCACACTGGGTAATGAATCAGTTGTTGAAAGAAAAAATCTTCTTTGATGACAGTCACTGCCATTAGTACTCATTGTCAAAAGGATGCAGATTAGCTGCTTATTTTGGGGGGAAAAACATTGATAATACTTATTTTTGTACCGATTAGGTTGCTTCTGTTTTACTTCTTTGTAATATTGTACTAATTCCAAACTGCACCAGCATTTCTCTGCATGTTGTGGCGTTACGAAGGTCGTTATTTCCTTTAAAAGCTCCATGATTAATACAAATCGGAGTAAAAGGGCACAGTAATGTAGTGTCAATGGAACAATCTTGCTCCTGCGCGGCTGCTCAGTCAGCACAAAGCCAGTGCAAGTGGCACTTATTAATAATTGATGCATGCTTAAAAAACAAGTCATGTGATTCATGGTTGCTGGCTGATGATGCCGTCAGCTGGTGACAACAAGCGTGCTGTCAGTGCTGTGACCGGGGTCATTTTGTTACATCCGTTATGTGTGCTTCTATTTTCGACCTCTAACTCTGAGGCAGATTTTTAATTGTATCCTAAGGTCGATTAATTTGCATAATTTATAAAGACATGTTCAGGGCATGACACAAACAGGAGTACAGTGGAAATGTTACTTTATGTTATGTTAGGGGTAAGGGGACATGTTGAGGCTGCATATCTTCATTATTTCCAAGATTACTTAAAGGGTTATAGCATTTGTTTAATGTCTTGGATTCAAAATCAGTGCAACGTTTTTTTGTATTAACATATTTTCTACCAGTTTGCTCTTTCATGTCTGTAAATATGAAATTACACCCAGCGCCTCTGTCCAAAGTTCAAAAATACATCTACCAACACCTCTAATTAACAGGCCTGTAACAACACAGTATGTGATAAACGTTCTCTTCATTTTGTTATAACACCCACATTTTATAATTATCATCTGCACTTTGTTATAAACAGCTTGAATGCAAAATCAAATGTATTTGCAACAAATGATTACATCTTAATTCTTACATAATGTGGGAGTTGCAATTTTCCCAAAAATATATATAATTATATTACAATAATATTACCAACCAAAATAGAGGCTTTCATCTGTACATGTTAATTTATTAAAGAAAGTGAAGGCATAATTTGACACTTAATGTAGTTTAGGTCAATGAGTCAAGATAATCTAACTAAATGTGTCTTTATAAGCGAGCCAGTATGCATAGAATTCGCATATTTGAAGACATTCAGTTTGGTTGGTTATACCATAAATAATGTATTATTACATTTTCATGCATTACTGCAATATTTAATATTTCAAAATGCAGAGAAATGTATTACATATTGCATGTAGGCTATTTGTTTCAGATGTGTGGGGCTAGCTGTTTCCAACCACATCCAGTCTCTTTATGCTAAGCTAGGCTAATCATCCTCTGGCTCTACCTGCATTTTTGCCACTCAATTTTTATCTTGAACTTTCAGAAAGAAAGCCAGTAGTTGTACTTGCCAAAATGTTGAACAATTTCTTTCACCAGTCAGTTTGGGGTATATTTCATTCCGATGTTAGTGTACTGTCTCGGTTAAGAATACGCTACAAAATAGAAAAATTCCCCAGATTTGGTCTCATTTACATGAATTATTTCATCTGATTTTGTTCTTCTCTGTTTGCCTCGCAGGAGCATCCGCTGCCTGAGAAACATCATCCACTGGAACCTCATCACCGCCTTCATCCTGAGGAACGCCACATGGTTTATCGTCCAAATGACCATGAGTCCCGCAGTGCACGAAAGTAACGTGGTACGTACCACTTCATCTCTAGATCTTTGACAAGAAACAGTTTTCTTTCGGAACTAAAGGAACTCTCTTACTTGGAACAATATTTTGTATCCAAATATATAGTATACAATCTCTGAGCCACTATCTTTTGTGTATTTTGGCAAGCTTTGATGTTGATTGCTATTTTTTGTGTTGCGTTAAAGCATATGGTGAAAGAAGTTCTATAAAAAGATTCCGAAATAAATAAGAGAGCGGTAAAATAACTTGTGATTTTGGATTGGAATGAAATGTTTGCCCGCTATGACTTCCTTTTGGGGTTTTTATTAACCGTTGAGGGTCAATCATTATCAACACAAACACTGCAGTTCATACTGGAGTTAATCCTACATACACCATGCTGCACCATGCACATAATACTATCAAGAGCACCAATTGTGGATTAATCCACCATTGGAAATAGTCCCCAACAAATGTCCTCTGTTTGCAATGTTTGATAAAAACTGCAATGACCTGCTGTTTTATAAACACATATAAAGCCTTTTTGTATGGTTTATATCTGCAGTAGGATTGATGAGTGTCATGGTTACAGAAACTCTTAGGAGTTACACCTTGTTGGTTAAGGGTTAGGGTTGTGACTTTGTGCTAAAAATGATCATCCTTCAATTATTAAGCTGTTCCTCTTTACATAAAATGTTTTTGAATTGTATTATTTTTTGAATATTTTCTTGTTAGTGTCTTCAAGGACGGCCCAGCAACTGAGTTTCAAGAAACAGCTGCTGTATTCATGAACTTCACATAATAATGTGTCTTTATAGTGAGGTTTTGGGTTGCCTTTAACCACCAGAGGAGTTTGAATACTCCTGGTCATTGATTCTTTAAGCCTGTTAACTCAATTGGACGGATCCAAAATCCCCCATATGTGTTCAGTTCACTCAAGTTATCCCCTGTGTGTTTCTGGGAAATAAAACTTGTATTACAAATGACTGGCGGACAAGGAAGTCATAAAGAAGAGCGTGTTTCTTGTATTAAAAACCGTTGAGTCTCAAACAGAGCTTCCATTGACAGATCATTTAGCAACAGTTTCCTGATGATATGATTATAATGTAACCCACAGAACATGTGGTGTGCTATGCAGTGTTTTGCAGTAGGACAAAATTAGAGACTGTAAAATGTTTAACTGAATAATTTGTCTCGTAGATTTGGTGCCGCCTCGTCACAGCCTCCTTCAACTATTTCCACTCCACCAACTTCTTCTGGATGTTTGGCGAAGGCTGCTACCTCCACACCGCCATCGTCCTCACCTACTCCACCGACAAGCTGCGCAAGTGGATGTTCATCTGCATCGGCTGGTGTACGTACAATAAAACTCAAATCCCTACAGCTGAATAAAAAACCTTCAGGGCATTGAATTTGACTAACGATTATTTTCTGGAATAAACGTTCGGTTTATAAAATTACAGAAATAAGTGAACAATTGTCCATCCTTGTTTCTCAAATCCAAGTTGGTATTTAAATGTATTTTTTTGTTATACCAAAGATATTAACTTTAATAAGAAACTAAAAAAATCTGCATTTCTCCTTACTTAAGAGGCTGAAAACAACATTTTCTGCCGTTTTGGCATGAAAATGATTTAATGGATTAATCATTATAGTTGGTAACTAACTGATCAGTAGATTAAACATTGCGGCTTGAAAAAGCTTTAGTTAGCATTGTTTACGTTTTTGGGGAAATACACTTATTTACTTTCTTTCAAATGGAGGATTGATATCACTCACTTGTTAAGTGATATCAATCGTGTTAAGTATAGATCGAGAGCCAGAAACAGTTAGCTTAGCTTAGCATAAAGACTAGTAGCATGGGAGAAAGGCTATCTTTGCTCTTACCAATATCAAAAATACACTTACTAACACCTCAATCTACCATATTTAATGTTCACGAAGATAATTGTTTAAGGGACAAATTGTTTTTTATAAGGGAGTATTTTCCAAGCTAGCTTCTAGTGGTATTGCTAAGCTAAGCTAATTGGCTCCCGGCTGTTAATTAGTATCAATTTGAATAGCGTAGAAAGCGAGTAATTGTATTTCTCAAATGTTAAACTACTTGTTTAACTCCAGTCAGTTTAGATATTTCGCTTTAACAGACCACACTGAGGGTCAGACACACATTAAGCTAACAATGGGAGCAGATTACTTGATGGAGATACCAGGATTTGCTGTGGCAGCTTGGAAACGTCTTGGTGTGGAGTTCACTAACACCCCGTTTCACACTGTCAAACTCAACTATGTGCTGCTGAGTGTATTGTGCCATCTGTATTACATTTCCCCCGGGGCCGTGTGAAGCCTCCGTGTGAAGGAAGATATGGCAGCACATTTCAGGACGGCCATGCAAACATTTATAAGATCAAATTGTATTTGCTTCGCTTAGCTTCAACTCGGGCTTCAAGAGCAGACATTATTATTAAAGCAGATGGGAATAGGCACGAGATTAAATCAAGACAAATTACATTTTTCAAGTAATCTGGGCATGTGGGAGTATATTTGTATAGAGATTTACCATTACACTAATGGCAGTATATTTCTAAGTGGAACATTTCCTGATTTACATGTGACGAGGCATCTGGCACATTCCTCATGGTCAAGGAATGGCTGTTTGTCTGCTCTATTATACTCCCTTAAATCAGTAAATCAGATGATCACTCTGCATTATCGTCAAGCAGAGTCCAGCTACTCATTCATTCACAAAAAGTTCACATGGTGACATGTCTCGGCTTGAATCTGTGGATCACAGCACACCAGGAACAATAGCTTCTGACAGAGCTTGGCAGGCGCTGGTGAAAAAGAGAATCTAGGACTTCTTATTGCAGCGTGAAATCCCTGAAGGCACATTTTGTGATCTGAATAGCAGAGAAAGATGAAAGAATGTGTCCTTTCTTTTCCTTCACAGGTATACCCTTCCCTATAATTGTGGCATGGGCGATTGGGAAGCTGTACTACGACAATGAAAAGTAAGCCCTTTGTTGTGCCTCCTCTTTTCAGAGAAACCAAACCCGCTAATAAAAGGACAAGGGCAAAGTCAAACTGTATTGCATTAAGGAGACTAATGTCTATTATTAACCTGCGGTAATCACATTTTCACTGTACAATATTCTTAATTACATATTATCCCCCTGGCCATTTCCACTTTGAGAGGGAGTGCTTGGCTCTTGATTGATATAAAGTGTCTCTTTTTGCACTTGGTACACAGGTGAAAATGGATTCTGCATTTTATATATATGAATAGAAATATAGAACACCAGCCTTATCCTCTTATCAACTAGAAATGTTTGATTTTTATTTTCAATCTCAAATAAATAATGTTTCTTTTAAAAAAAATCAGTGCAGCAATGTTCTTCTTCTTTCAGGATATTTCTTTCTTTGGTAGAAGAAAGCAAATTCAGTCAGGCATTTGTTGTTCATCATTTGATCCATGATGTTTAAGAGAAAGTTTTAGTAGAATAAGTAAGTTAAGATTACGTTTTTCTATTTCAAATATATACATTTTATATTTTACCTCAAAGAAAGTGCTGTGACGTTCCTCTTGTTTCAAGATATTTATTTATTTCAAAGAAAATGTGTTTTCTCTGACTGGAACATGTATAAACATCCTGAGCAGCTCAACAAAATAAATTAATATTCTAAATACTTTATAAAGAGTGACAATATAATTACACCTGCCTAGAAGTAAGCATTTGTGATTTCTCTGTGTAATTGCAGGTGCTGGTTTGGAAAGCGAGCTGGCGTCTACACGGACTACATCTACCAAGGTCCCATGATCCTTGTCTTAGTGGTAAGAGTCTTTTGTTTTTATCCTGAGGCAGCAGCACTTTACATAACTCGCTGATACAATTAGTCTTTATTATGTCTGGCAGGCATGAAATGTTAAAAACCGCAACACATTCTTCACGTTACAAAATGATGAATGTGAGGTTCTAACTCTTTACCTGTCGAGCGTGACATTTAAATCTCTGCAGCTTGGCACATTATTAGAAATATGGGAATCCTGATGGAAAACGAGAATGATATCCAAAGGTATGTTCATTTTTGTCTGTACTTAGGAATTATCTTGTTATTTCCTTGTCTGAGGGAACATTTTCCAGGCTTTTATTTCATTATTTCATTAGGTGTTGACTATCCCTGCTGTCTCTCTCAGGCTCCCGATTCTGCAGCAACACAAAGACAAACTCTTAAGCAATAGTTCAGATCCTTTGAAGTGGGGTAGTAGAGGTACTTTACCCATATTTAGTGTGTTACATATAGTAGATGGTGTCGACACACCCCCACTCAGGAGAAAAGGCAGAATACCAGCACAGAAGCTGAGAAATGTATTGCTGTGGACATCAGCAAAACGTATACAAGATGCCTAAAAGAAAGGCCCACCAAAAATAAATCAATATCAGTTTAAGTGCAGTGCACGCTATATTTAGAATCTTTTCACCGCTTAACCTTGCTGTCAGTCAACCCTTTCCTACGGGGAACTGAAGCCGCTATCTATCCCTCTTCAGAGCCACCACTCCCCTTTGACAAAAACAGTAATTTTACCTCGCAGAACGCGGGACTTTCTGCTCTACTACTGCCTCCATCGATTAGTTCTTAGGTGTTATTGTGTGACTTTGGTGAATCCGTGCTAACTCTTTAAACAGGACATTAAGCCCCCGCAGGACCTCTCCTTTAAATTCAGAGCAAAGCTGTGTGTTATTGTGACTCTTCCTCACTCTATGTGAAGCAGACACTCAGGCCTCCAGCAGGGCTCATGTTGAACGATCCTGCAGATTTGGCAGATTGTCAGGGGACTCAGCGCGGCAACTTACAAGATTTAGTCATCTCTCGTCTGGACTGCAGTAACTCCCTCCTGGCTGCGCTCCCAAAATCCTGGCCTCGGTCCAGGGCTGGAAAGTACATTTACTCAAGTCCTGTACTCAAGTACATTTATGAGATGCTTGTATTTCTGTGCTTAATTCCGATTATAATCAAAAAGAGGATGTATAAGTCTCCTAGCGGTATATGAAGTAGTTAAAATTAGCTCCACCATTAAATATTAATAAATAAATGCTCATAATCCATTACATTTGACAACTATATTCAATTGAGTTAGATAGATAGATAGATAGATAGATAGATCGAAATACTATATATAGAGTATCTAATAGTACACATTTTATTTATAATATAAAATCCACTATTTTAGACCAAACTACCACAACGAAAGGACTTTTACTTTGTAACAGAGTATCTCCTTTTTTTTAAAACACACATGAGACTGCATAAAATCCATTATGAAATAATAAAATAAAGAATTGAATCATAACAAATGTGACAGGAGAGGTTGAGAAGCCACGGGCTTATACAAAGGTCCTCCCCTCAACCTGAGAAGAAAACAAACGACATAGAAAAAAAGGGAAAATTACAAAAAAAGAAGACTAAGATAACTTAATCGTAATGACAGATGTGTTTGTGTGTGTATCTTGGGTTCGAGTATCTCGCCGACCCTCTGACCGACCTGCTCTTGGCATGTGTGCTGTCGAGGACCCGGTGATGGACAGTTCTGCGAATGAAGTTATTTGGATCAGTGGTTCTGCAGAATAATGCGAAAGCCTGATTCTCTATGGACATCGATTAGCACCTGCGCTAAACCCGTCTGGAATTCTACTTTCTTCCAAAGCCCCCTTCAAACCCGGTGCACACACATTGACTCTGTCTTTGACTTTAACGGGGCACAGATATTTGATGGGAGTTTCTGCACTCGTGGCCCCCGTAAACGCATGAAAAAACTCATTTTGAAACCCAAGAAGCAGTGGCACCACCACATCCAGAACGGGCAATACACTGGTGAAGGGAAATACAAAAAACACATCAACAAATTGAGTGACATCATCAAATAAATGTCATGACAGCCACTTTTAACCCTTTCTAAGGATAACAAGCTCTTGCACTTTGGTGTTTTACATCACATGGTACCTTGTGGTATTGCTTAAAAGTTCAGAGTCCTTGTTCCACCTTCCGTCCCGATCCACATGCACACCCTGACTCTTTGAACCCTACTTCCCCTCGCTGTTGCAGATTGACCGTTTCTCTGCTCAGTTTGATCTATTTTCTCTCTGCCAGGTCTCCAGTGGAGGACTGACCTTCCCATCCCTGCTTGAACAGAACGTTCCCTGATCTTCTCTCACTAGTTGAAAATGGCATCTCACCAAGAGGCTCTTTATGTTTCTGTCTCTCCTGCCTTACTCTCCCCCTAAAGCACACATCTGCCTCCTTCAATATCCCTCTGCTACTTTCACCGAATATTGTCTTGCTTACAATAGCATATTTGCCTCTCAGGCTTTTATCTCTTTTACTGAGCACTTGATCCTCCAGGATCACCTCCAGGACACCAGAATATTTTAGGTAACTGTCAAGTTTCTGCGGTGGTGAACCATCAGTGCCTTTTACCATTGGCGGCAGTTAATGTCAGGCATTAGGTGATGTACTGGGATAAGGTATTAAATAAGTATTTTATTAACATGCTAACATAATGCATGAGGTTATTGAGCTGGTTAAATGGATGCTTCTTGAGAGATTGCCATCCATCTGTTCAGGCCAAGGTCAGGTCATCTGGTCCTGGGTAGTGTTCCTGCAGCTATTTGTCGTTGTTACATAATCCACACCTATTGCGCAAGCTATTGATTTTGTCATTCATCACATTGTGGGGAATATTAATCTCAAGGTGCACTTTAGATAACAGTTACAGGTTTAAGTATCATTAAAGGATAATGCTGGTGTTATTTAATATTTGTCTTCCTAGTCAATCACAAAAAATGAAATCTGACCAACATACACCATCCTGCTGCCATCCACAGTGATGGAGGAAGCTCTGTAATTATAGGTTGATCCACAGGAAAACAATTACCAACTCAATCAATCAATCAATGTTTATTTATATAGCCCAATATCACAAATGTTACATTTGTCTCAGTGGACTTCACAGTTTGTACAGAATATCAGTATGACAATACGACACCCTGTGTCCTTAGACCCTCACATCGTACAAGGAAAAACTTCCGGATAAAACCCACAGTTTAAAGGGAAAAATGGGAGAAACCTCAGGGAGAGCAACAGAGGAGGGATCCCTCTCCCAGGACGGACAGACGTGCAATAGATGCCGTATGTAAATTGAAAAGATAATACATTTGCAACATAGGTAGTCCAAATGTTTGGAAATGCATGTGTGTATAATAGGAAGATGAATCCACGAGGATATCCATCCAGGACCTATGATCCAGGACCACAGCCACGACTCAAGATCCAGGGCTCGCGATGCAGGACAGAGGAGCGCAGGATCATCCATGACTCCGGATCCCGGCGTATATAGACACCAAAAAGAAAGACATTTGGGGAAGCTGGGTTAATCGGAACATGAGAGTACACAGGTATAGACAGAGAGAAGGAAGAAGTAAGATGTCCCCCGACAAACTAAGCCTATATCAGCAAAACTAGGGGCTGAATCTAATCAGCCCTAACTATAAGCTTTATCAAAAAGGAAGGTCTTAAGCGCACTCTTAAAAACGGATAGGGTGTCTGCCGCCCGAACACAAACTGGAAGCTGATTCCACAAATGTGGAGCTTGATAAGAAAAGGCTCTGGCTCCCATTGTACTTTTAGAGACTCTAGGAACAACCAACAACCCTGCATTCTTGGAACGCAATGCCCTAGTAGGACAGTAGGGTATAATGAGTTCTTCTTTTCAACTGTTGGAATAATTTATAAATTGTTAAAGTATTTTTAATTACCTGGGAGTGTGAGGAACTTAAATAAACATTTTTCGCTTTTCTCTGCAATGTACTAATCAATTAATCTAGAAAAAAATTATCCAATTAAAAATGCAATAACAACCATCAATTGTTATTTAATATAGTAATATTATCATGTAAAATAATATATTGCAATCTGATTCCTTTGAAATCATACTTTGGTAAAAAAAAAAATTGTTAACTTTAAATATACTTAACCTTGATTTTGAAATAAATATTGTTGACTTAGTAAACATACAGTTTGACCCTAAATCTGAATTTAAGTACCTCAATCAATTATTTCCTTTTTCTGGCACAAATAGGCTTCCATATTTCTTTCAAAATAAATGAAAGGCCATTAAAGAAAGCAAAGCTGTTTTGTTTTTTTGTAGTTACTGGGAAGGTGTTTTTTAAAACCTGATGATAGTTTAGACCCGTGATGCGTATACGAACGTCATCTGTGTGGTTCACAACACGAGAGTTCCTCAGGGCCTTCCTGTTTTGGAGAGAGTTGAATCCGCAGGTGAGAGACCCTCACTCCGGGCTTTGTTGTCCGTACACTCTGATGAGTTTTGTATCCCACTGCTGCCAGGCAACCCTCCTCCATTGTTTGCTTTAAACAGTGACCTCTGAACAGCCTCTTTCTAGACACTATAAGCCCTTTATATAAGGTCTCAAATTCATCGCTGTGTTTGCTTTTCCCAACAGATCAACTTCATCTTCCTCTTCAACATCGTGAGAATCCTGATGACCAAACTGCGGGCCTCCACCACGTCAGAGACAATCCAATACAGGTACATTTACTGTCATGTGCATTATTCAGGTGAACATGCATGAGACAAAACTTTTGAGCTTCTCCTGAATGTGCACACATAAATAATTCATGTTGTATACTTGGATCTGTCGAGTGTGGTGAAGGGATACAGACGTACAGTGAGTAAAAGTTTTAAAACAGCCTTCCTGTCTGTTTTTTATATCGTCTGCAGGAAAGCTGTGAAGGCTACACTGGTACTTCTTCCTCTCCTGGGACTCACCTATATGCTGTTCTTTGTCAACCCGGGGGAAGATGAGATCTCTCAAATTGTCTTTATATATTTCAACTCTTTTTTGGAGTCCTTCCAGGTACGTGTAGACGTCCTAAATGCTCTCAGGGTCTAATATCATCTGCATGGGTGTATTTTTGTGTAAAAAGTGTTGAACGGATGAATTGTTCATCCTTAGAGATGACTGAATGAGTGTAACGTTTGATAAGCTGCTGTGCATGCGATGGAAACTGGATCAGGGCGTTGATGTTTCGATTGCCCTCCTTTTTATATGATGTTTTGTTTCCTCTCCACACAGGGCTTCTTTGTGTCTGTGTTTTACTGCTTCCTAAACAGCGAGGTAAGCACATTCACATCCGCTTATTGATTTAACATTTAACATTCCCCCTTGCTTCCAACATGTATTTATATTACCCATCTTCAGGCGCTTCCACTCTCCCTTTTGGTGGCTGTTGTTGTTGAGTGATAACGCTGGAAGCATTTTTATTTAGGGCATAATTAAGACTTACCATATGTAAGTGACATCAATTTCTACTCCTTATGACAATGTCAGCCTTAATTTGGTCTCACTGAGAGATCGGGGTGAAGCCCTCTCAAAATAGTGCAGAAATATGAATATGCATGCAGAGATGCATCATTTAATGTGTTATGAAATTATTATTAATATTACCAGTACTTATAGTAGAAGTGATGTAATTACCATGTATGAAAATAGACATCAGATATTTGTTCCAGAGTATACTGGAGCACTATTATTAAAGGCATGTTTTGACACAGAATAAGAACCAGAAATCTGGTTTGTCCCACTGCAGGAACATTTACATTTTTACACAAGGAGACAGTAAATAAAAACACACATTAATTAAATGTAAATGTAAATGCTCTAATCTTCAAAAAGGCCTTTATTTTTCTCATACTGCCAGTGCTGCATCACCTCTTTTCACCCTCTGTCTGAAACCAGAGCCCAGTGGAGGGAACTTTGGGATTTTAGTCTTTGCAGACCATTGACATGAACAAAAACCTATGTAACACACTACAGGAAAGGGAAAAAAGCATAATAGGGCCCCTTTAAATAATCGCAAGGAACAACAGAAGAATTCGCCCCAAAAAGACATAAGGCGACAGAGAAAATAAAGTCTTTGTTTTGTCCTTTTGAAGAGATAATCAACATGGGTTTTCCATGGCAGCAGCTGTTCAATCAATGCACCCAAGTATCTGTATGAAAGGACCTGCTAGATTTGTTCAGTATGGATTACTATGGGGACTATACAAGAGTCAGATTGTTAGCCAAAAACTACTACTACGTGGTTTCCCGTAGATATTGCAAACACTATCAAGTGGTTAGATTGACAATCCAACAGCTGTTGTCACATTTTTACTGGAATATTGCTGAATTTCACCTTTTTTTAATGAACCTTGGCCAATTCAAACTCATTTTGTTTTGATTCAGAAGTCAAAACTGTTCATAAAGGCCTTCATCATTTATAGTATGGGAAGCAGAGTGAGAACATCCATTTTAGAGCCTTTAAAGTTTTAGTTTTTTGAAGTGCAGTTTTGCACCTACAGTAAAAGTGTAAATTACCTTCCACATCGTGCTCTCCAAAGTTACGATCAATACCCTTTTGGCTTTGGCTAGGACCTGCCAGTTGTAAATGAAATAAGCGTAGTTGGTATTGCAAACACCAGGTGTGTATTTATCAGTGTTCCAGTGCAGAGATCACATTCTCTTGAAAAAAAACAACTCCCATAATCAGGAAGTAACTCTGCACTGGCTGAAAAACCGGACGGGGAAATTATGCTGCAAGTGGGAAGGGTTCACCACTATACAATAACAGAGAGAAAAGCAAATGTATAAATAACTCAACATTGGGACACCAAATCTCAACCCTCCTCTCCTCCACCTTATCTGTCCCTCCTCCCATCTTTGCACAATCTCTGCAGATGTTTCCAAGCAATAACAAGCACACAAATGATTATTTAGTTGAACTTTTACACTTCACAAGCAGCAAAATAACAAAAGTGAAGCAGAAGAGGTTGCACGGCAATCCATCCAAGAACTATCGACATATTTGGGAGAAAGACCGACTGACTGAATTTCAAAATAAAGCACCAGGCAGTACTGACGGATCACTCGGTATAAGAAACAATAGCTCTGTTGTTTCAGTTAGTTCATCGTAACTCTTTGTCTCTGTTGCTTAGCTTTCCCTTTCTTGCTACATATTTGAAAAGGTGTTGAAAGCCACTGAAAGCATGTTTTTTCGTACAAAGTTATTTGCTATATTTATAGAACACAGCAGAGAATTAGTTTTGGGCTCCCTTCAACTATGCTCATTAAATATGAATCAGAAGAAAATCATGCAAGTTTAAAAAAAGACAACAAAAAAGGCATATCTGACACATTTTTTACAGAATATAGAAATACAATTTTACATGTATAAAATATATCATAAAGAGGTCCTTCTATACTTGTGGGGGGTTTCCCTCTCCTGTAGTGTGTTATAATGTGTTTGTGCATGTAAATGGTCTGCAAAGGCTCAAATCCCATGTTCCCTCCAGAGGGAGTTTCTCTCCCATACGTAACATGTAAGTTCAGCTGGTGATTTGATTGACAACCAAACAGCTTTTTTCACATCATAATCAATATATTTCTAAATTTCCTGTTTTTCCAATGAAACCTGGCCACTTCAATGTCAGTTTTTTTTTTTTTAAATCTTCCTAAATTAAATAGTGACCTGTAAACCCTGTTGGTTCTAATTGTTCGCTAATGTTTTTCATCAATACATACTATTTTTTTATCGAAAAAAGGCCAAACCGGTTCATGAAAGACCTCATCATGTTATAGTAGAAGCTGACAGAGAAAATCCATTTTTAGAGCCTTTAAAGGTTTTATCTGAAAAAGGACAGCTTTCTACTTAAAAGGGTAAATTAACTTCCACATCGTGCTCTCCCAAGTAGCGATCAATACCCTTTTGGCTTCAGCTAAAACCTGCGTGATGAAGATGAAATAAGCATTAAGATATAGTATCACCTGACCTTTTTGTGTGGTAATGAGGATTATGTCAGATCTTGAGTTTAATCAGGACAGCCTGCTGGTTCGTCTGCGGAATCTTAATCTGGTGATTCAGTCCACTGCAGAATAATCATCACTTTACAAGGTGTTCCTCGAGGAGCGGCACATGGATGTGATATCAGCTGACTGCTGGCCTTTGGTCAACGTCCCACTCTGTGAGAGCCGGCTAGATGATGAATGGATATCTCATCACTGACCAACAAGGAGCTTAACCAGCGTGTGTAGCTTACAGAGGATATTGATTTAGGGTTTTGTTTCAGGCTGAGAATAGCAGAAAAATAAATGAGACAGATGAACAAAGGATAGCCGTGGTCACTTGAGAGAAGGGGAACACATTTCGTTCCATAACATTACATCTTGTTCACAGATGACAGAAGCCAACACAACACTGGTTAACACGCTGATGAAATGAGATGTGAAATATCATGTGTTAGAGTGATTGTGGGGATCAGCTTTTTTTAGATTAAAGCTCTTTTTTGGATAGTGATTACTAAAGGCAGGGATGTAGAAAAGTGGGACACATGGGACGATTGATTTTGGTTTGGACGTGAGAGAGGAGAAGAGGAGGAACCCTTTTTAATCATCATTAAACTGATTTACTGCAAGATGTAGCAATAGATCCTGGTTACAAACTAAATGGAATTGAGTGGAATTGCAGGTGCAAATTTGATTTTAAATAGCAGAGATTGAGAAGTATGGAAGCCCATTCATGCCAAGAAGATATATTAATTTTGGATTTCTTTTTGGTAAAGTATTTGTCTTGATAAAATAAATTCTTATTAGCTTTAGTCCTATTTTAGTCAGTTTAATTTAATTTATATATATTTAGTCAAAAACAACATTTTTATTCCAGTTTATGTCAAAATGTTATCATTTATTCAGCCATCACTAGGCAAAATGTTTTCGTTTGTCAAATGTCCTTTTTTGGGTCATTATTAGATTGTATATATAAAATCTAATAAATCAGTCAAGCCAAAAACAAATATATTTTCATTTGGATTCAAACTTATTTCACGATTTTACCTCATCATGATCAATTGAAAAACCCAGATTGAGTGACTATGCAGCTCTGCTACTCCGAGTCCTCCAGACTGAACTCATTAGTAGTGTGTAGGTCAGCCCCATCCACTCAACCCACATTATTAGAGAATCTGCTCCACCCAACTATGCCATTATCAATCAACATAAACCTGACCTAACCCAAGGAAGTGCAAAATGTATTATTATACATATATTATATAGTAGCTAAAAGAGACAAGAACACAGACGAAGGTAGACTGTGACAGAAATTAAAAGAGATGTTGGGATCGTTTTAATTTTCACAACATTTTAGTCTCATCTTTTTTGTTAGCTTATGAATGTTGACAGAGTCACAGTAAGTGTTTAATGAAATCGTTGCCTTCTTATCATTTTAAGTCATGGAACAAATGGTAAGTGCTAAACCTATTTTGTCATAGTTTACGAAATTAACACTGAAGGAAAGTCTTCCATGGAGACTTTTAAAAGGTTTTGGATTTCCCCCTGTGGATCAATAATGTCTTACTCATATAATATCATCTTACATTTGATTTAGCTGACGCTTTTATCCAAAGCGACTTACAAAGCACCTCTGGGGATCAGTGTCTTCCCCAAGGACACTTCAACATGTTGACCGCTGACTGTAGGGACTGAACCACTGAACCTCCAATTGGTTGACAGTCATTTCCCCCCTGATGCACATCTCCCAATATAATAATGTATACTGATTACATGTTATACTATTAATCTAGATCTGCAAAGTCTTAATAACTAAAGGTTCTAGGAATTCTAACATGAGATGTTAAGTAGCAGAAAATAAAAAGTAAAATACAAGTACCTCAAAATTCCACTTAAGTACAGTACCTGAAATGTACTTTTGTCTGCTGTTTTCATACATATTAAAATATCATTAAATGGCAAAGACAAAGAAATGTAAAGAGGACATATGCTCATTTTCAGGTTCATATTTGTATTTTGTGCCAAAAGAAGTGCAAGTGTTACACAGTGATGTCATTATGCCACAGAGCCCACTCTGCTCTGATTGGTTAAATGGCGGCTTCTGTTGTGATTGGTGAACCGCTAAATTGTCCCGCGTCTTAGCCTGGCACGTACAATGTGTTGGCGTGAGTGTTACATAGTGATGTCATTATGTGCCAGAAGTAACCAAAGGAGTCGAATGGAGGAGTTTCAGGCAGGGGAGATTGTTTGGGAGAGAAACTCCCTCTGGAGAGAACACAAGGATTGTATCCTTTGCAGACCATTTACATGCACTAGATTAGAACATACATGTAAAACTCAAGGCCCGCAGGATAATTTCTAATTACTATTAGATCTGGCACGCCGGTATATTGCACGCACACCTTCACTCAATCCTGAGGATTTCCTCAGCTCAGAGCCTAACCCCAAACATTGATGAACTTGCATCCAAGATGAGATGCCAAGTATCTGGCTTAAACTATTATTTAAAACTGATTATTTAATGTTTAATGATGTTTTTATTGGCAATAATTTAAAGGGGACCTATCATGCAAAATGCACTTTTGTATGTCTTTTATACATGAATATGTGTCCCCGACTCCCCAGTGTGTCAGGGAACTCACCAAGTGTCAGAAAACACAACCCTCTCTCTTTTCCTCCATACCCAAATTCTAAAAACGGGGCTGCAACGGAGCCGATTATTATTTGAATTTTTCTGATGTCAGAAAAGGGGTGCTCCGCCTATAGGGGCAACTCTCCACCTATCAGGAGGAGACAGCCACGGCCATTGCCGTTCGAAAGCGCTGGAGACGCTGTAGTACATATGCCAGGCCTGTAGGTGTCGCTGTAGTCTGCCACAAAAGCAGCGAAGAAGACTTCTCAGATTCAGCCCTTGCAAAAACAGGGCTAAAAAAGAGCAAATAGAGCAAAATGAGGCATGGCTAAAATGCATGATCTGTTTGGTATTTTGAAAAAACAACTTTGCAGACATGTTTTATATAGGTATGGCCCTACAATATAGTATTCAAATATAGCATGATAGGTCCACTTTAAAGGTGGGGTAGGTAAGTTTGAGAAACCGGCTCGAGATACACTTTTTGTTATATTCCATGGAATGCTCTTAACATCCCGATAGCAATGAATATCTTAAGTGCTTTGACAAAAAATCCATAAAAAAATGTCATCTGTGGAAGCCGTAATACTGTAAAAAGTACAACCAATCATTTGAGCCGGCCCGGCTAAAGTAACTGGATGGCCTACCTGCCTGTCAGCCTTCCATCTGTGCACAAACTTATCTCATGCCCTCATTGGTCATGTGCGCGTTTGTGTGTGTAGGAGGAGGAGCTCTATAAGGAAGTGGCAGATTTTCTCCGGTTGTGTATTTTCAAATTCTAGCGATCTCGAGCCGGTTTCTCAAACTTACCTACCCCACCTTTAAGCTTTGTTAGTTCCAGGTTTAATATGTGCAATACGTTCATTTCAATACGTTTTGTAATATACATTGAACCAGTCCGGCCCTCGACTAGTACCGATTTTTTTATTTTGGCCCACTGTGTATTTGAGTTTGAAACCCCTGCACTAGAACCTATATAACACACTACAGGAAAATGAAAGCCCCAAAATGCATAGGTAACACAAAGACCATCAGCTGACCTTTTATGATTCTTCCTGTTTTGTTGTCACCAGGTGCGGTCGGCTGTGAGAAAGCGGTTCCACCGGTGGCAGGAGCAGCACTCCATCCGGGCCCGGATGACCCAGGCCATGTCCATCCCCACCTCCCCTTCACGGGTCAGCTTTCACAGCATTAAGCAGTCCTCGTCGCTATGAGACAGAAGGCCGGCGCCGACCTGGATACAGTTTTTTGAGCTGTCGTCATCATTTTCTGCCACATCACTGGAGTACACTGAACCACTTTGTGAGCTGGGGCAGGGCCACAGAGAGGGACTGCATCAGTCTCCTAAACCTCCGGAGGGACATTACACAGACGTGAAAATAGATGAGGATGGAGAAAAAGGACACTGCAGACTTTAGAGGTTAGTGGATCAAGTGATGCACGTGACCAAGCTGGGTGACTTTGAATCAGGGTGTGAATGTACAGCACTCCATATTCGTTAATGTTTGCCTGCCATAGAAAGTCTCTGTTGTATTCCTGCTTGCATACTTTTATTTATTTGTTTCGCTATCTGTGAAAACTCAGAGCTTTGGCCGCTTGGACTGCACTGAACTGGATTCCAGGCCTGCGGACACTGGACTTAAACTAAGTTATTCAAATGAATTTATTTTCAGTTTTATTTATTTTGTATTCTGTTGTCACAAACAATTGTCTGGTCATGGTGTTTGTTAATTTGGTGTTGTGTTATCTTCCTCTGTTTAGTGCAGTCATGCTACTTTTATAATTTTTCCAGAACGATGAACGCATTCCATCATTTTATACCTGAAGAGTTTTGTTCTAAAATAATACATTGACTATGAAGAAAAATCAGAGGCAGGAAGTAATTAGCCTAGCTTAGCATAAAGACTGGAAGCAGGGGGAATAGTTAGCCTGTCTTACTCTGATGTACAAAAATCATGGTGGATTCTTGACAATTACTCAAGTACTGAATTTCAGGTACTTTTTTATGAGATTATGAAGAGTCTATAAAGTATGATGTTATATTATGTTAAACAGTTTATAATATATTTTATATTTATATATTAAGTACAAATAAATACTTGATTGTTAGAAAATGTATCGGCAAGTATTTTATTTATTGTATTTAAAGGTTTTATGGTTCAATAATGATAATAAACTAAGTTCAACATTAACTTAACCTCCATCAATACAACAGTAATTCTGCATTCGCATTTGCATGAACGCATAAATCATAATAATCTAACGATTTAATAGTATTCCATTCACAGGGGAAATTGTTATACTTGTATTGCTTTAAGTACATGTTCATGATTTAAATAGCGGATTAAAAAAAATGTCACTGTTTTTTTATTATTTCCTATAAGATCAAGAATGGACTTCGAATGATGTTTTTGGAACAAAACTCTTCAGCTGAATAAAGAGACTTATTATTGTTTCCTCTCTACCAGCAAACCAGTGATATACAGCTTATTTGACCAGGAAGAAGTTCATTCTTGTATTCTTGTATCTCATCAAATGACGTTCCGTGGTGTTGGGTTGGGTTGACTTGAAGCATGATGGGAACAAGCTACACAGTATCTCTGTTTACCGATTGATTGTACATATATAAATATAATATAAACAGGGGGTTAAAGACACATATAAACCAAAAAAACACAAACCACACACTGTGAATCATATGGGCACATTTATCCATGTGATCAGCAAGTCACAGTCCACATTCCTACTATACCAGTATGCCTAGCACCTGTGCATTTTTGTCAACTGCTGTTTGTGTCAAATTGTATATGAACATCATCATTTTGCTCTAAAATCAATTTTTGTTTTCCTTTTCAAGTTAAGTGCATGGTATATATTAGGACCATTGTTCATTTTTATAATTGTAGAGCCATTGGATTGGGGTAATGCTAAAATAAAACAATGTAACATTTCTGTTAAATTCTCTGGGAATGAAGATTTTCAAAAACAATAAGAATTTAAATTTGGAAAAATCTGGCTTTTTACCCTGAATATTACATTCCGTTTCCAAGAAAATAGTCAAGCTAAGTTGTTAATTTTTTTATTTCATAGCCCAAAATTGTACACATCTTTCTTTAAGGGATTACCTTTATATTGACGTTTTTGTGTTGTCTTCTTCTGTATTATCGCAATTCTCATGATACCCCCCTCTCAAGGCTCCATAATAAAACATGTTTACCTACAATGGCACTAATACCCAATAGGATTGTGAGCTCTGGTTCTGATGAAGTGTCAACAAATGTTTAAGGTAACAGGAACTCACATGCTGCTGTGATGTGTCTTTTTCTAGTGTTGATCAGCTGAGTAGTGAGTAATTGTATGTACAGTATATGGGGGTAATATAACGCCAAATTACACTACGGATGAAATGTTTTTAATTAAGCTGTCATATTTTCTTTCCATAATGTCTATTTTAATAACAGTATAATGTGGATGCCAAATGTGTTACTTACATTTTAAATTGTTTTTGCTCAGAAAGAAGAAGAATTAACTTTTTCAAACTTATATTTTAATCAATTTCCCGACAGTGTGGCATGATGGGGGAATAATTACATTTTTTTGTCCAAAGTTATCTCATGGGAAGGTGTTTAATTATCACGCTGCTTCAAAGGACATTTTGGTGTCATTTCACGTATTTTAAGCTTTTAGCATGTCATGTAAAGCCCCAGTCCCAGCTCATCTCATATCACCAGTTTGAAACACATTAATGCTGTTAATTCAAAGAAAACTACATGGTTATGTTGAGGCAACCAAACTAATTGTTCAGGTTTAGGAAAAAAAATCATGGTTTGTGTCAAAATGTTTGTATGTTACTTAAATTAAGTTATGCATAAGTAAGTAGTCAACGGTATTAACTCTGATTGATTTGGGGATTTGCATAAGAAATGTCTCCTGAGAAAGTCCTGCAGTTTGACCCGTCCATCCTCTCTATGCAGACTTTCATGCTCTTTGTGTCACTTTACTCGTAAAGAAGTTGCCTCTAAAAAGGCTTCTCCAACAAATGGCACGCGAAAGTCAGAAATGCACAGGAATAACAGGCAAAATCACTCAAGAAATTGACATGTGTTAGAGGACCAATTATCATTACCCAACCACTACGTTTCAAATTGGCTCAAAAGACGCACGTAGAGGTATTTTTCTTTGGGCCCTCTATAGTCCATTGAGTAGTTAGATTGAAAAGGATAAACTGGGGTTTGTGATAAAAGTATCCCCAGAGGATGTTTCCTGATCCAGTTCCAATTGTGTTAACGCTAACCTTTTATTTCTGCTGCAGAGTTTTACAAAGAGCTTGCTTAAGCGGCACAGTTTCTGTTTATTCCAGTTCTTATTGAACTAATGCCCAGAGGGATTCTTTTGCCCTTTCAATTGTCTATCTGGTTCAATCCTCTACAGTTCTCTATCTACAGAGCAAACCTTTCACACAAAATCACAGCTATTTGTAAAGAGAACTTTCTAAAAACATGAAGGTTCAAACACATAGAGCAGTCCTCTCAGACATAACTGGAGACAATCAAGCTTTGGTGGCAGGAGATTACACACTTTTTAACGGTGTTGTGTTTTAAGTAAGAAGTGGAGTTACTATGATGTTAGTGAATTTTACCAAAAAGAACATTTAAAATGTCAGAAATGAGCAGCAGTGGATGTTGGTGACACGGTAAAAAGCATCCGAAGATATTTAATGACGTCTTCATAGTGATGTGGTACATTAAGTGGTAAAAACAGAATTACAATGAAGTTCACATTCTTATTTATTGTTATTTATTTTCATACTGGAAAAGATGTGAAGAGATAATAAACTGTGTCGCGTTTGACTGAATGAAATATTCAACAATGTGAAGTCAAGTTTATTTATATAGCACAAGACACATATACACATTCAGCTAGTGTTATGGGGTACCGCTTTTTTTAACACACTTAAAAGGCTCAGATTCACTGTGGCATTTGTCTCCACGGTCCCCTGAGACAAAAGCAAACAAGGAATGCATCTTGAGCATCGTGTGATCCTTTTAAGCCCTTTGTGTGTGTGTGTGTGTGTGTGTGTGTGTGTGTGTGTGTGTGTGTGGTTGTGTGTGTGTGGTTGTGTGTGTGTGGTTGTGTGTGTGTGTGTGTGTGTGTGTGTGTGTGTGTGTGTGTGTGTGTGTGTGTGTGTGTGGTGTGTGTGGTGTGTGTGTGTGTGTGTGTGTGTGTGTGTGTGTGTGTGTGTGTGTGTGTGTGTGTGTGTGTGTGTGTGTGTGTGTGTGTGTGTGTGTGTGTGTGTAAACACAAGGGTGTCTCAGAGGGTATTTGAGTGCAATTTTGAGTTATTTGCACTTTCAGTATTTCCATTTTCTACTTCACTACAAAGGTAATTAAAGTTAGCTCCACCTCTTTCAGCATAAACTGATGAACGCATTAATGATAATAATAATAATAATAATAGCAATCCAGCGATACTATATTCATTTGTTTGAAAGGGATTATTTTGTATAGTATTTTTACTTTTATTGGTAAGTATACGTTAAAACTTTTGTACTTTTATTTAAAGATCCCAAATTGTTAAAAGATGTTCATGTTTATATAAAGCCGGTCTAAGTGTGATGTAAATACTTGGTATAAGTATATCGAAATATTATACTGTTTTTCATCAATATATTATAGTTCTCAGATATATACAAAGCATGTCTCTGAAGTGTTTGGCTCCAAACACCAAACAGATCATTGCAGCATCCCATAATCCCCTCTGTTTCAGCCCTGTTTCAAAAGTGCTGATTCTCTGTTACTTTAGATGAAAATAAGGAGCCCCTCCCCACGCCCCTCTGAGAGAGATTTGGTTTCAAAGAACACAATGGTGCTCTAGGAGGAGATTCAGGTGATAAGGTGGTGGGGGGGGGGGGGGGTACCTTGGTTGGTTATTGGCTAATGGTTACACAAGCCAAACATTTGTTATGACATCATAAAGTGGCCAAAATCTGATCAGCTCGTTTTCAGACAGGTTTTTATATAAATGGATCAGGGAAAAAAATGGTGAATATTTTTTCCTGAAACTTTCAGAATCTCCAGAGGGGACACATGTTGATGTAAAAAAGACTTGAAAACGTGGATTTTGCATAATAGGTAGGTCCCCTTTAAATTAACAAAGACACCAAATGCAAGCGGCATATTAAAGGTGGGGTAGGTAAGTTTGAGAAACCGGCTCGAGATACACTTTTTGTTATATTCCATGGAATGCTCTTAACATCCCGATAGCAATGAATATCTTAAGTGCTTTGACAAAAAATCCATAAAAAAATGTCATCTGTGGAAGCCGTAGTACTGTAAAAAGTACAACCAATCAGTTTGGCCGACCCGGCTAAACGGATTGGAATGCCGCTCTGTCTGTCAGCCTTCCATCTCGTGCACGCACAAATGTATCTCGTGCCCTCATTGGGCGTGCCGTCATTGGGCGTGCATTGCAGCAGTACTTCAATGACTCGCCAGCAACAGGCGGCCACTTTCACCAGTCTGCTGACGTCATGTGCGCGTTCATGTGTGTTGGAAGAGGTGCTCTGTAAGGAAGTCTGAAGGAAGGGGCGGATTCTTTTCGGCTGTGTACTTTCAAATTGTAGTGCACTCGAGCCGGTTTCTGAAACTTACCTAACCCACCTTTAAGGAACCATGTCTTTTAACAATCCGTCAGGACTTCAATACGACGGAGTATTAGGGCCACACTTAGAAAAAAAAAACAGAGATTTCGAGAATAAAGTCGTAATAATACGAGAATAAAGTGATAGTTACGAGAATAAAGTCGTAACATTACGAGAATAAAGTCGTAACATTACGAGAATAAAGTCATAATTACGAGAATAAAGTCGTAACATTACGAAAATAAAGTCGTAATGTTACGAGAATAAAGTAATAATTACGAGATTAAAGTCGTAGTTTCATAAGTGACTTGAGAAGCGGACTTGGAGGAGATTGTCTCCTTTCTGCAGGAGGAAATGCCTGCTTCTGGCCGACTACATTACATCAGTGGCGTAGCACGTCTGGCCCACCCACAGCCAATCAGCGCTTCATAGCGCAGAGCCGGGAAGCCCAGAAGGAAGTGCCACAAACTGCAGTTCCTCTAGTGGCCGACAGGGGATGGATGCAAAAAGGAGCAATTCCCATAGACCCCCATGTTAAAATGCCCAACTTTACAGCAGAAATAAACATGTTTCTAGCCTGGATCCAATAAAACTTATTCTGGATATAGTTAGATTCCACCTTCATGACAATGGAATAGGGAGTGCATTTTTTTACCGTGAGTTTTTATAGTAAGTAAAGTAACTTTTGCCGTGAGTGAATGAAAGTATTATTTCTTCTTCAGGTCTGCAGTTTAGCATGCACACATTTGCTGAATATGAAAACACTCAGTGTGTGCCCACTGTGCGACTGTCAAGGATAAACAACCTGTGGCCCCCGATATATGTCGTATGTATTATTGCTATACAAACATTACATTGAAGATTAAGTGTCGCCAACTCCGTTTCTAATATGCAAAAAGACAGCAAAATGCGTCTGATTATTTTTAGTATTTTAGATCTTTCCAATCCAGACGAGAGATCTCTCTCCCCCGTCTGTGTGCGAGGGGGCGGGGCAGTTTACACACACGCAGCTGCTACATGCAGCAACACACACACACGGAGATGGCGGAGAGAACGCGCTCCGAGGTGTGGTTAAACTTTACCCGTCTCGATGTGGACAATGCTCGATACCAAAAGTGGAATAAGAGTTTAGCATGTAAGGGCGGTAACACGAGCAATTTGTCAAAACATCTTGCAAAAGTGCTCCACATTCAGACGGAGAAATGCACCGGGTTCGACTGTCTTTCTAGTAGCTCTGTAGCCCCATCCACGAGTAACGTTTCCACGTCAGGTATGTTATGTATGCTAGCAGCAACACACAGAGTTACCTACATTATACAAACATGGGTTAATGATTAGAGGTAACTGAGTTATTTATTTTGTTAAAGTTTCAGCTATTCTGTTTACAATTCTGTCATCAGATTATTTAATACGATTTGTTAAAACATTGTTGTTTCTTTTAATGTGAAATATTATGTATTTAATTTAAATAAAAAGCAATGTTAGTTTTGTTCACAATTTGTTTAGTTAGTTTACCTTTTTTTTCTCTCCAAAAGAACCGATAAAAGTACTGTTAAAGGACCGGATTGATAAGCGCTATCGATAAAAGTAGTAGTTGTGGTGACACGTTATTGGACATAATTCACCTTGCTTATTGTGTTGCCACACGGACCCTTTAGTGGGGAACACCTGTAGCTTTAGCTGCCATTCCTGCTAGCTCATCAGGCAGAGCAGTGCATGTGTTAACCTCTCTGAATGTAATGGATAATAAAGATTGGAACTCCATTCTTAATACACTGCCTCCGACTCTCTTTTCACGGCACTACACTGGTGACCCCGACTTTTCCGAGAAAGTTTCCGGAAAATTAACGAACATGGCTGAGCGCGATGTTTTCATAAAGCTGCCGGAATTCTGGGAGCACGCCGCGGAGGCATGGTTCGCACACGTGGAGGCACATTTCGCCTGCCGACAGGTCCGTGACGGGGACCTAAAATACTACCATGTGGTAGCAGCGCTGGGGAGCTCCGCGTCGTCCAGGTTGGTGGGATTCATCGCAGCCCCCCCACATCATGGCAAATATGAGGCGATTAAGGCCCTTCTCCTTAAGACATTTAGCTTATCTGCTAAGGAGAGGGCCCGCCAGATACTTGACATTCAAGGCCTAGGAGACAGCAAGCCATCCCAGCTAATGGAGAAAATGCTAAATCTGCTAGGGGGGGAAGATCCCCGGATTTTATCCACGGAGATTTTCCTGCGTCACTTGCCTCCCCGGGTACAGACGGCGCTGGCCAACACGCCTGTCACGGAGCCCCGTGCTTTGGCTGAGGAAGCGGATCGTTTTTTCCTGGCTACGCAACAGCCCGGGGCAGAGACGTTAGACGCGACGCTCAGCGGCCCACCGGCAGTCAAGAAAGCGTGGCGGAGGCCGGACACGGCTGTGGCTAGCCGGCGTGGAGACGCCGGAGAGTGCGTTTACCACGCACGTTTCGGGACAAGGGCGAAGAGATGCATCGCTCCGTGCAGATACAAACCCCCGGGAAACGGAGGGGCCGGCGCTCAGTAGTGGCTCTGAGCGTCGGCGGCACGTGCAGGCTCCTCTTCGTCAGCGACAGCGTTTCGGGGAGCTTGTTTCTGTGTGATACGGGCGCTCAACGGAGCGTAGTTCCAGCGTCGAGTGAAGACGTCGCCCGTGGGGGGCACAGACCGCGATTGACGACGGCTAACGGCAGTCCCATTCGCACGTACGGCGTGAGGCCTATGTGTTTGTGCATCGGAGGACAGCGTTTCAGCTGGGATTTTGTGACAGCGGACATTTCTTTTCCCCTCCTCGGAGCGGATTTTTTGTGTGCTCATGGACTCTTAGTGGACGTTAAGAATAGGCGTTTGGTTGATGCCTTAACGTTTTCTTCCCTCGTGTGCACACTTGGCAGCGCAGCGTACGACGGGCTGTCAGGCTCGCTGTCAGGTGCAGACACGTTTCTCAGACTGTTGGCCGAGTTTCCAGACTTGTCGCTACCCACCTTCTCTGCGCTTACCACTAAGCATGGCGTGGAACACCACGTCACTACCGGGGGGCCTCCTGTCTACGCCAGGGCCCGGCGGTTGAACCCTTCTAAGCTGGCTGTAGCGAGGGCGGAGTTCGCAACCATGGAGCGC